TGTGGCCTATTATGCTTCAGCGAGACTCCATTCATCTCTTCATGCAACCGACGCCCCTTTCATTGGTGCTTCTAGCACACTACTGTATAATTTTGCATCATCTCGCTGGCTACTGGTTTTTACGTTGTTGGCACGAACCACTCCTCAATGAAATAACGGAGAGTTTGCCTTCGGAATTAAAGAAGTGGGTTATTTGGCCAAGAAATGTGTGTGGCTTGGTTGATTTGAATTAGACCCCTAGCATACTGGACGGTCACGCGAGGTAGCAATCCACGATACCGCTCAGGGCTGGGTTGAGATATTGAATTCCTGGGTCTAATACGTTCTCTCTAGAAGTCTATGGAAAAAATTCAAGCCTAGATACAATGAGTGCCTACCGTCCAAACATGTACCAAGCCTATTTTATTGTCTAAAACCAACACAGTTCCCCTAAACCTTCTCCTCCACTTCTAGCTTATCTTCTTGGCACTCAAAATTCTACTGCATCTGTGGCAGAGATCTCAAAGAATGATGGCCATTCATTTGGGTAGAGGACAATATCACAGACGGGTGAAGCACATTCATCGCCACCATCGCGAAAAACATCAGTGTCGAGTCGAAACAATACATAAAGACCTCATGGCTAATCAAGTAGCCGTCATTCCCTTGCGTATATTCGATGAGACGGAAAACCGATCGAACCAAGATTAAAAAACTGGTAATGTAAAGCCCCCAGAGAACGGACTCCCAGCTCCAGCTGATAAGCCGGTTGTGGCCTTCCCTCGCTTGGATGGCTTGCTGAGTCGGCTTCGAGCGTATGCGGATATGGAATAAAAGTGATGTGAGTACGAAAAATGAGAAGAAGACAAGTTGCACACAGAGGCCACCAATCGTGATGTTTTCTCCGGTCTTCATTGCACTGATTGTACCGCTCGCCATAATGCCCCCTCCTGTAAATGATTCTTAGTACCACGTTATGTTTCGAAACTATATACACTAAGCTAGTAGGGGCCCGTAAAACGTACCTGCTGCCTGCATCAAAAATGCAATTGCATCACCCGTAACGAAAATTCTTGTCATCCATCTCAATGGGACCATACTGTAACTTTCCGCACGAAGATGCGTAATCAATCTTCCGAGAACCATATAGATAGATGCAGCGTATAGCGGGGGCGCTAGTAAGATAAGGATTGTTTGGATCGAATAAATGGGCACACTTTTGATGTTCGTATGTGCCAATGCGCGTGCTATATACCCAATTATCTGAACTGTAAGATCGTTATGGTCAGTATGAAATTTCTTTCACCGGAGAAGCGGGGCATGATACTGAGAGGGACTTACATATTCCACCCAAGACGAATGCAATGAAGTACCAGGAGCGGCTTTTAGTAAGCTGGTAAATATGGTAGAGAGTCGTTAGGACAAACAGGACGATGAAGATCACGGCGGCGGCAACGGAAGGAATATATCGGTAGAGTTGAAAATCAACTTTTCCCCCGGACTCGGTCATAGTGTAAGGTGGAAGGAGGAAAGGTGTTATTGAGCCACACGATGAGGATAATAGTCAACTTGTGAAGATATGTAATTGCTAAGAGCTGTTTGTCAAACTTGAAGATGTAGGTAGACTTTGTGGCAGATCTGGGAGTGACCTTCCTTTTATAACTAGAAAGTTCCAAGGACACTTAAATAATTATTAAATATAGTCAATCAACATCGGTCTGATGGGCCCCCCAAACCGTGTGTGTGAGCAGAATCTATATTATAGCAGGGGGAAGCCTCAGCCTATTTTAGTTTAGTGTACGAATATACGACAGCCAACCAACGTCAGACTTATGGTGGGTCCTTCAGAAACATGTCTAATAGACTGCATCCATAAATCAGCCTAAATACATAGCGTATCTCCCAGGGTCACATCTTCTCAGTTGAGATATCCTGGATATAAACATGGCTCCGGAAGATTTTTCAACGCAGTGGACAGACTTGACAGGATCAGCTACGCCTCGGGGCCAAGACAAAGATCTTAAGCTTTTACCTGTGTCAATCCAAGATTTGTATTTGGAATCGTCTAAAAAAGAAAGATAGAAGGAAAATGTTGGTGTACGTACTCTGCATGACTACAAAGAAGAAAAAGAAGAAGCAGAGAGATAGATAAAAGTTGTTGGGTCTACCTACTACCATGGTGCTCTCTATATAGCTCCATGGAGACAAATAAAGATGCCTGACAACCTGCAGGCAAGCGAGCAAAGCCTACTGAAGAAGTTTGCAGCGCTGCTCTATACGTTAAATGCACTCCACCGGGTCCATTCGATATGCTTCTAGCCAAAAAGGACATGGTTTTACTTGCCTTTGAGTTGTTCGGACTATCCCAGGGCCAGAATGTTCCACCTTCAATCAATACATGGAGAATTTGGCAAAATGAAAGAGTCTCTTAGGAGCCCTCAAATGATAGCCACACGGAGAAAGCTTGGCACCTTGTTTTCGGATTATGATATTTGTCAGAGCATTATGTTTTGCACTGCAAAGTGGTCACAGTTAGGTTAGATAGGTTCCGGGTATACTTGCCTTAATGCTTGTATCCAACGTCAACGATCTGTTCTCTCAACCGTACTGTTGCCTAACAGGCCTTACTGTAGGATGGTTCCTTTTGAGATATCGAGGAACGATGCCAGGTAGAGCGCCGAATAGATCTATAGCGAATTAATGGTCTGCTTGTGAGTGTTATCAAGTTATAATCAAGTAGAGAGTCACAGTAATTCAAAAGGCAAACACAAGTAACAATATATGATTGAAGACGAAGAACTAAACTAGATGCACGAATGACCGTCCTTATATATCCCGGAGTTCTTCCTGTATAGAACAGTAGATAGTAGAATGGTAGAACCCTTCTATAGATCTACCTGTTGGAAGGCATGTGATGACTAGTCACATGATGCCTTCCTGTTTGCTCCTAGTTCTTTAGTCTAGTTCATGCTTGTGAATAGTTTCTTTCCTCTTCATGCATTCAAGAGATATTTAGTCATATCTACACCTTCGTTGTAGATACTCTAGATCCTCTCTCAGAAAGCTTCCCCGATAAGCAGACATATCATCTGCTAGTTGGAATGTGATTTCGATCACAATCTGCTAAGATTCTTTTGAGTTGGTAGAACCAACATAGCAGAGTTGAATCATGTGCCCTACTACATTCATGAAATGTGATGCCCAGACTACTTAATATGGAGACTTTACCTTTTGGCTTGGTGCAACACATCCACAACAAATAGCGTAAATGCAGAAGAGATGAACCAAGAACGGTGGCAACAAAAAATAGTAGCATTGATAGCGAGGTCGCTATTGCGGGCAACGAGACCTTCTCTAAAAGCCATTTATACTGTAGATCTTATACTAGTGAAAAACAAGAAGTGAAGCGGTAAAATCCAACCCGTATATCAGTACCATTTAAGCATCCATACTTTGTACCAACTCCCGGTATACATTCCTTATTTAACCGCAGCCGACTAATCCCGCACAGAAGTTGAAAGCCAGCAAGATTGGGATGTTGGAATCGGGTAATGTTGGGAAGACCCCAAATCTGACTAAAACAGCCGAACAATAACCCCAACCGTAACTTCACGATATTCTCCGATGCGCTCTAATTAAAAATCGATGTAGATATACATAGAGTCCCATAATTATTAATCATTTCGCCCGATTGCCGATTATTAAAGCCGCCCCAATCTCACTGTTACACTATTGCAGTTCAGCGATGACGACAGCCAGTAGGACCTCGTGTCATGCATAGACAGCAATAAGCTGTTACAGCCTCACATTTTCGGGGTTCCGGGCTCTATGCTGGCCGAGGTGAGGCGGTTACTCACGCGGGGGGGCACGAGGCGGGCAGGGCTGATGATCGGCTGTTAGATTATTCTATTTCGAGGGTGTGCGATTTTCGGGCAATACGTTACATCTACATCAACGTGGCAAGGACTTGGCTGGGATAGGGTATGAAGAAATTCGATGTATAGTCTGATTTAGGGATATTGGATAAGATTACTCCTTGGAGTTTATTTTAGATTCTTAGTTTTACTTGGTGTTTTAGAAAGGATATTCTTGTTTCGGGATATGGTAAATGTGCTTAGTTCAGGCTACCTAATGTACTAAGAACGGCTATTGGCAAATGGGATATGGCGCATGTGGCAATATTCCGAGAACAGATCACAGAGACCTGGAGCGCTGTTGGAAATTGCAAAAAATCACAAAGCGCCGAAGATAACGAAAAACAAATGGTGGGGGTATACAAAACGGGGTATCTGAACAAAGCGCTGGAAAAAAAACAGGTTCATAAAAAAACTGAGAACATCAAAAAAAAAGAAACACCGGGTCCCCATGGATGCAAGCCTGAGGTTAGGCAAAAAAGGGTCAAATGATGACTGAATCAGGCGCTGCAACTCCATGCGAAAACATGATCCTCGTGGGATGGGGGGGAATAACGTATTCGCTGAAAAGGAAAAAACAAAAAAGCAAAAAACAAACGGGAAAGTTCGAAAATGAGTCAGAGAGCCAGATGAACCAGCGGTGTGCGCAAAGGACAAGAGGGACGGAGGTGACGAGAAGTAACAAGTGCCCAGGTGGGATTTCTGGAAGCGCCGACAGCGAAATATTAGGTAAGCGCGGGGGGGCAATGGACCCATGGATACCCAGATGGGTCCCGAAGTCGGCCCGTGCAGTGCCCTGGTATGGTCGCATTCACAAAATACCACCCGGTGAAGCTCAAATGTGGCTGACGATCGACATGGCATGTTGTGCTTCTTGGGAGATTGGGCTCTAAGTGTGATTCGTAGTTTGGAATGAGGCGGTTTCGCGGGTATCACGGTTGAAGGGGAAAATGAATCGGGATTAGGCATCGCTTGGTGTGGGTCTCTGCACCCCTCGGGGACATGCGGGGTGAAATTAGAAGATAAGGCGAGGTAATGACATGGTTGTGAAGAGAGTGTGGCGTTATTCGGAGAGCGCCTGCGCTGCACCGGGCATCACCGGTGAGCTTATTGACTGAGCACCTTGGATGCCGAGTGAGCACGTCGTTTCGGAGTGGGCGCGACGCGGCGTTTCTTGGGCTTCGATGTCTCGCGCTCTGCCACAATGCTCTGCTTTGCTGTACGGAGGGCTTGGGTTGCCCGGGCGTGAGCTTCAACCTTGGCAAGGAAGTTGGCCCGATCTTCTTGTTCGGCGATAGCGCGCATGCGCTGAAGTTGCTGTTCCATGGTCACGGAGCAGATGGTACCGGCGTCCTGGTTGATAGCTTCGTCTACTGCCTGCTCAGCGGCCGAGTTCTCTGGCATCCACAGGAGGTCGTCGTCAGAGAGAAAGGCGCTGGCACATGAATCGGCGGAGTTGTTGCTGGAAAGCGAGGGGCGGTTGGGCCAGGAGGGGAAGGCATATGCTGCTCCCATCTCGCTAGAGAAAGAGGATTTGCGTGGGCTGATATCGAGGAGGGAGTCGCTAGGAGTTGGTGGAGGGGCGAAAGGACTCGACATGGAAGACGAGGCGCTGCCACTCCAGGCAAAGGTGGGTTGTGCTGGATCTGTGCTGGCGATAGGAGCCGCCGCCTTGGGGAGCGACATCTCATGTAGACGTGACTGAATAGGAATCATGGTGGCGGAGATGTTGAGTAAATGTTGAAAAGGGTTGGCAGTACCAGGGCCCAGTGGGTTAGAGAGACAACAGTGTGGAGGTGTAAGGTGTAAGGCGAAGTGAAGAATGAAGAAGGGCCGAGGAGGGTTGTTTATCAATGATCGGTGAGAAGGGCACACACAAATAGATATCAAAGATCAAAGCCGGGGAAAGACTTCTAGACTTCCCGACACCCTTGCAGTCGAGAAATCAAATTCCAAAAAAGAAAAAAGAAATAAAGGAAAAACCCGAAACAGGAAATAAAAAAATAAAAAAATAAAAAAAGAGGATAAGAGAATAAATCAAATAACAAATAAATCAGGACAATCAGGCGGAAGGAGGTTTCCGCAAACAAAGGGCTGTCGATCAACCTTCCAACCTTGGAAGAACTGATCGACCCAAGCAAACGAAAAATAATAAAATAAAATAAAATCCCTTTTGGGAATTTATTTGTATTTTTTTATTTGAGAATTTCCAGATGTATCGAATTTCTGAATTTCTGACACACGGGGAAAGATCGGATCCCCGGTTTAGCGCTGGTTTTTTTTCCTGCCACACTCCGACTCTGACAAGTCTGACACAGATATTTGTATAATGTATATTGTATACAAAGATCGAGAGAATCTGATATCAGCAAATCCTAGATTTCCACAATTCCCCCTTGCGGCAGATCGAGGATTCCCCGAAAGGGCTGCCCAACAATCTTGGAAAGTTCAAGATCTGGTCTGATCTTAAAATCGGATTGTTTGGAGTATGTTCCAGTCCCGATGATAATTCTCCAATGATCATGCCTCGGATTCACCGCTTCGTTCGGGGGGAAGGAAACAAAAGTCGCGGCAGCTGCAGGCCTAAATGGAATTTGCAGCCCTGATCAACGTTTTGAGGAATCAGGTTTAGGCGTTTGGCGGTCACGATCCAACACGTCAACACCGATGAGAATCGAAAGTACTTGTGATAAGTTGAAGAGAAATCTACACCCACGGGAGAACGAAGTATCCTCTGTCTTTTAAACAGCGGAGTTGGTAGAAGGAAGTTCTCCCGTGTCTCCACACTCGGCTCAGTCTAAAGTCCGTGGAGGGTTCGATTTCCAGTCTAGAAGCCCTTAGTCTACAATCTAGATGAAAAAGGAAGGTTAAGGATTGGAAACCAACGGTTCCTACTACTACCTCGGAGCTTCTCCCGCCTGTTTGCCCGGTTTTACAGCGGATAAATGCACTTCCTCGGCATATTTTAATTTGCCGCCAGATGCTACCGTTCTGCTCCGTACGGAGTACTCCATATGGAGTGCTCCTTACCATATAGAGTTCTAGGTGTGCGAGAATCTAATCAAATCCCTTATCGAATTAATCCCGAGGAAGAGCCGTCTACATATGTAATTTTCGCACAAATCACAGGCCACCCCACAGTCACACCGAGGCTCTAGTGGATGCTCTTTGTTCAAAAATCATTTCTAACATAAATTGAATATTGAGTCGGTCTAGATCGTCCCAAGTCTAGACCACTCAAAACAAAGACATTTCCCATCTATCAAATACACTAATTTTCGAGATCTCTCCCCCCGGAATGTCATGCCCCTTTCCGTTCAATCTGTCAACCTTCAAGTCTTTATGATCTTTCTGATGCACCAGATGACTTGCTTAATGCAAGCCTAGTGCCTACGGGGAAGAATGTGACGCTCTTCCCCGGCCCAAGTGGATCAATCCGTGATCCTGGGTGTCCCGACCAATTTTCACTCTCCTTTTCGGGCGCATGATCGTCCCTCTTCCGTATCCGTATGTCATACTCATCATATCCGAGGAGACTTAAGATGTATATTCCCTAGGGATTGACCGCAAGAGTACTTTGGCAACTCTATATATCTAATTCCCCAACAGCGCCAACGGAATGTGAAATGCAAATCCCCCGCGCCTCCTACGTCCTCTCACTCCGTAACTGATGCTTCCGCGTCCCGGCCCGCCGGGGAAGCTGGGCAAGTCTTTGGAAAGGGGTCAAGCGGGGGGGGGGGCAGCGACTGACCCAGGAAATCAAATTCAGATCGACGCGACAGCTCGGTACAACACCGTTGAATCCCCGGCTACTCCGTACTCCACTCGCAATGAAATCATATCGACTATAGTTCACCCGGCATGTGAGAAGCTTGTTGGATGAGGGGCGGGCCGCGGTTCAAGATCCGTCGAGCGCGTCGCGTTCAAATCTTTGCCCCTTTCCAGGTTCTCGGTGCTTCAATAGATTTTCAATGCATGCCCTCTAACCTGTCTCCTGGGTTTCATGGTGGAGACAGGTAATTCCGCGCTGGGGGATTCGGGTACTAATATTGATTTGATTGACAAGCATATTAATCTCCCGGAGAATACTCGGTATGTTGGGCACAAAAGCTCTGTTTCAGAGAGTGAAAGCTAGAGCCCGGTCTATCGGTTCTACCTCGGCTATGTTTTTTTTCTCGATGTAGCAGAGTGAAACTCAGCTTGGATCAAAGGCCAAACCATACAATTTAGCTTTGCATGCACATATTTGTGGATTGGTTATTGTAGACCGAATCCAAGTACGAACGACGTAAGTAAATGCAGGGTTGAAGGGAGCTTGATTTGCATATTGAATTGTGTGGCCAGCTCTAGCCCCTTTGTAAAAAAGAATTGCATAGCTCAGATCCACACTAGCCCCTTCCAGGCCTTCCCGGTTTCCCTGCAGTTTATACCATGCACCTCATATGCAGTTCACATGTACTTCACATGCAAGATCTCTGAACTAAAATCGCAAGGGCACAGATGTTCGGGTCTGCTCTTGCATAAATAATAGAATAGCATTGAAGAGAAGAGGTTGAATATTGAATCACACTGTATAGACGGTACGACATATTTCAATCTCCCGATTCACTGATCCGTATATCAACTCGGACCGATGTCTAGCCTATGTAAACAGGAGTACAAAATTAAATGTGACAGAATCAAGTTCTGACACCTTGACTCACCGACTTAATAGCCACCAAGAATTCCATTTCTTGGTACTTTTGGTCAAGTTTGCCACATCTGCATGAATTCTTGATAGATGCAACTCATCCAGGATTGACGCCGCCGGCACTAAAGATAAGATATTTTTGAACCATGGAAAAGACACCCACCCCATGGGGATCTGACCCACATTCCGCCAGCGGAGATTTTGATGAATGTGAGATAGCACATTCTGTATGAAGTACGCAGGACGCACTACGACATACGTACACGGTCCTTTTTTCTTTGCAGTGTGAGTAACCTAAGATCCTTCCGGGACACCATCCGCGGTTTCGGCTGCATCGATCAACAAGGGTGTGATGGCGGTGGCGGGTTGACGGTGTATACCCGAGACGTGTCCTTGGGTCTTTACTTAACTGTCAATTTCATATCCCAGAGCAATAAACGCCCCCTTATTCATCACAGGGACTGTGCTTATAGAAATTCGATCCGCACGGATAGCACAGTCGTAGGCCCGTAATCTAGACCAACGCCAACATTGTGATGGTTGCGAGATCAGACAGTCCATCTCTGAGACCGCTACAGCAGCCATCGTCATTGGATACAAAATGAAGCTATTATCTCTTCTGCTGACTCCAATCAAATTATCCTGAGTCAGAACTCACATTGTACCTACTACCTGTACAGAGTAGACTAAGGGTATCTGCCTTGACCGATATTTGCGACCGGGTAATATGCGGTCGCCACGGTCGCTTTCCCGGACACGCTTTGGGAAATTCCCACGGAGCAAAAGATAAACCAGAAACAAAGGGGGGTATCTCCGTTTCATGAATGGAAATCAGAAATCGGAAATCATCATTCTACCTCCAGTGGTCTAACTCCAGTGGTCATTTTCCAGAACGTTTCCACACACATGCAGCACGGCTTATGTGCAAAGCCGAAGAAACTGCGGTAGGCCGTGAACCCGCGTTAGCATTGTAGACGATGCGTCTTCGCTGGAATTCTTCGACTTGCCTACTTCGGCCTAGCCAGCAATCTCTTTGTCATGTCAAGCCGTTGTTCCTGTACAATGCCGGGCATGAATACTTCGGGCGCATCGACGTTTCAATCTCCGCTGGGTACTGACATTCGCGCTCTACGCGCCTAGATGCTACGGTGAATTTCGACAGCAAAGAAAAAAGCAACATCCTGGTTGTACAGGCTGGCAAAAATCGTATGCCTGACCGAGTGAGCATGGATAATATCCGAACAGGGTCATTGATGGTGTTATCCCGTGGTGACAATCCTGGTCGCGCTAAAGTGACATGGGTTCGTTGCCTGGTTATCCCCGATGCACACGTCGGATAGATAAACTGGCGGTGAATTGTGTTTCTTTCCTATTTGGCTCTTCCAAATAGGTACCTGAAATTTGGGCTGTTATAGATGTTTGCGAGATGATCGTTGGGACTTCTGTTGGGATTTGCGACCGAGATTGTTTGACTAGAAGGTCTCGAAGGAGTGGCTAGTTTCATCTCTCTCCATCCTCCCCAGTGTCCTCTTTTGTGCAGACAAAGACGTGCTATGGTCTGTGGCCAGTTTGTGCGATCGAATAAAGCTTTACAATTTGTCATGCATAGCTGGTCTGTTGAGGTTGTGATACTTCCCAATCCTTAACAACCCTATAATATAGGAGATGGTATTAACAATTTGTAGCCGAATTCCTCAGATAATAACTACCAAAAAATGTAACACTTGCTTAAAGCATAGAAGCGGTAGACTCGGAAAAGACTCCACGACTCAAAATGAAGTTACTTAATCGGGAAGCAGACACCTGGTTTGTGTCGCCTCTATGGCACATACTTTATCCGAATTTCTTTGGAATCTACTCGGATTGCAGTCCCTATTTTGACGAAATAGTCTAGCCTATGTATTTTCACAAGTACTGGAGAGACAGGGTATATATCATTATTGGAATAGGATTCTGACTTGACATTATATATATATATATATTGGATGGTGTCCTATATATAGTTGGGGGACTGGCAGGTTGCCAA